GGGGCTCTCTTGGGGGCCTCTTGGGAAACCTTGTGCCCCCTTGGGGCTCGCTTGGGGCCGTCTTGGGGCCCTCTTGGGGCCGTCTGGGGGCCCTCTTGGGGCTGTTTTGGGGGGCCCTCTTGGGCCGTCTGTCCGCCTCTTTGGGGGGCCTCTGGGGCCGTCTTGGGACGAGCTTTGGGACCTCCTGGGCCGTGTGGGGCCCGTCTGGACCCGAAGAGGCGAGAACCCGAAAACCCTCCCCAAAACCGCAAGGGAGCCCATGTCTTGGGGCTCCTGCCGCCCCCTCGAGGGCCCTCGGGAGGGTCTCCGGAGCCGCCTCGAGGCTCTCCTCCTCCTCCTCCTCCTCCTCCTCCTCCTCCTCCGCCTGCCCCTGGGCGACGGCCCCCACGGTGCCCCCCCCCCCCCCTCGGGCGTCGGGTGGCCCCTCGGGGGCCCGCGCCTCCTGGATCGGACACGGGTCCGGGGTCCTGGGGTCCTGGACCTCGGGGCCTCCCGCCAGGACATCGGGGACCCAAGCCTCGGGGCCCTGGACCTCGGGGACCCACGCCTGGGCGTGACACGGACGGGTCACGATGGGCACGGGTCCTGGACCTCGGGGCCCTCCGCCGGGACGAAGTCTCCACCCCGGATCGCTTTCTGACGGCCCCCAGGGCCCGGGAGGGCCCCGCGAAGCGAACGCCGCGAACAACAACGAGGACGCGTCTGCATGAAGATCCGTTCGCTGAGGCTCCCAGATCATCTGGGGTAGACTTGGTCCAACTAAGGCCCTTTCTGGCGTCCCCACATGTGATCCAGGAACACCCCGGAACCGCATGATCCGGGCGACCCTGTCTTGCCCCTCGCCCCTCTCCTCTACAAGCACTCAATCTGACTACTACTCTCCTCTTTCCTCTGAAATTGTCCAGAAGAGGCCGCTGTTGTCCGCGCACGGAAACACACATCATTTCAGTATTTGATTGTTATTTCCAACACGTTGTTTGCAATCCGATTGTTCTCGGTGCTCCGCTGCAGCGTGGGCCTCATTTTCGGAACGGCGCTTTGCTCCCGTCTTTCAGGATGGAGCTCTCGCCCAGCGTGGGCCACTTTCTTGAGCCACAGGTCTCGCAGGTCCCACAGGTCTCGCAGGTCCCACAGGTTCCACACCCACAGGTGTCGCAGGTCGTCCCCAAGTCTCAGAGGTTAGCAGGTCCCACAGGTGTCGCAGGTCCCACAAGTCCGACAGTAGTCGCAAGTTCCTCAGGTCCGACATGTGTCGCATGTCTCGAAGGTCCCACAGGTCCCACAAGTCCGACAGGGCCCACAGGTCCCACAAGCGTCGCAATATTCACAACTTCCACAGCAGTCCCACAGGCCCCACAAGTCCTGCCTGTCCCACAGGTCCCACTGGTCTCGCAAGTCTCGCAAGTCCCACAGTTCCTACAGGTCCCACAAGTCCCAAAGGTGTCGCAGGTCTCACAGGACCTACGGCACCCAGGTTGCGCAGGTTCCCCGCAGGTCCCAGAAGTCCACAGGCCCCACAGAAATCCCACAAGTCCCACATGTCACCTTTGCTGCTATTAGGGCGCTTTGCTGAGGCAATGAATTCGAGGTCGGCCATTAAACGCATTCGCGGATAGAGACAAACCTGGGCCGGCACGGAAACGGAAAGGGCGCCTCAGGAACTTGCCCGAGGTGGCTCATGGCACCCTTCGCTCTTGGGAGCCTTGGTGTGAAAAGCTTGTGACATCGCCGCTCTCCGTTGTGAGCCCTGGTGTTCAGAGACTTTCTCGTTGCCGCTCGCTCTTGGGAGCCTTGGTGTGATGAGCTTTTTACGTCACCGCGCTCTGGGGAGCCTTGGTGTCGAGAGCTTGTTGCGTCACCGCTCGCTGATGGGAGCCATGGTGTTCTCGAGCGTCTCTTGGGCCTCGTCGGAGTCTTCTCGGAGCCCTTTGGGAGCCCTTTTGAAGCAATTTTGGGCCGTCTTGGGGCCCTTTTGGGCAGTCTTGGGGCGTCTTGCAGGCCTTTGGCCGTCTTGGGGCTCTCTTGGGGGCCTCTTGGGAAACCTTGTGCCCCCTTGGGGCTCTCTTGGGGCCGTCTTGGGGCCCTCTTGGGGCCGTCTGGGGGCCCTCTTGGGGCTGTTTTGGGGGGCCCTCTTGGGCCGTCTGTCCGCCTCTTTGGGGGGCCTCTGGGGCCGTGCTGGGCCCGTCTGGACCCGAAGAGGCGAGAACCCGAAATTACCTCCCCAAACCGCAAGGGAGCCCATGTTTTGGGGCTCCTGCCGCCCCCTCGAGGGCCCTCTGGAGGGCCTCTGGAGCCGCCTCGAGGCCTCCTCCTCCTCCTCCTCCTCCTCCTCCTCCTCCTCCTCCTCGTCTGGAGGCCATCCGGAGCTCTCTTGGGGCCGTCTTGGGTCGTGGTGGTGCCCTCTCGGGCCGTCTTAGGGGCCCTTGAGCCGGTCCAATCGAAAAAAATGAAGAGGAAACGGGCCGTGGAAGGCGCCCGCGAGCCGCTTCACCCGAGAAATGCGAGGGAAACGGCCCCCTGGCGGCCATTCACGCCCGAACGCCCGGCCCTCGCCCCTCCCCTGGATCCCCTCCTTAGAAGGCTTCGCCCCCACACAAGAACGTCATCACTCGTACCTCGCTCTTTCCGTTTATAGCGCAATGTGAAGTGATGGGAGGGATGGAAATTATGCCAGATGTGGGGCGAGCGCACGTAGCTTGCCCCTCTCCACTCTCCCCCCCTCCCCTCCCCTCCTTCCTTCTCCTCCTCCTCCCCCTCCCTCTCCCAGCCCTCCTCCTCCTTCTCCTCCTCCTTTCTTCGGCAGGCTGTCGAGCTCGTCAAAGCTCGTAGCGTCTGACCTCCTCCTCCTCCTCCTCCTCCTCCTCCCCTTCCTCCTCCCCCTCCCCCGCCCCGCTCAAGACAATTGGGCTCGAGCAACCCTTTGGTTTGGCTCGAGACCAAGCGTCGCGCCTTCTCGTGGTTCTTGGGGGCATCGAGCACACCGCAGTTTCTCGTGTAGTCGATCTCGGTGGCGAAAGGCGAGGTCATTTGGAGGTTACGGTCTGCTCAGTTGGCACGTGCAGCTTACTGGGGAGGCATGTCATCTGCGTGGTTCAGCGTATCTTTGTCGGGGGTAGTGTGAATGGTTTCGGTGCTCGCTTGGGGGTCGGCGCTGCAGTCGAGGGACCTGCGCATGCTCAAGTTCTACGTGCGTGCGAGGCCTCGAATACAGAGACTACCATGTTGAATCGGCATGCAGAGCCTAGTCTCAGGCAGCTGGGAATGAGCTCACGAGCCAGGGACGTGTTCCAGCAACTGTACGAGGACGTGGGTTTGGTTCAGACTCCGACAAAGGTGATCATCTCGTGCATCTGTCCACCGACGCCGTGTTGAGAATACTTACGGTCGCTGCCGGGGAAAGACACGGGGCACATGTCCGACAATGTCGAGATGAGGCTCATGTACGATTGCATGGTGTTCGAGGCTATAAGTGGGCAGCTTCCTCACGCGACGGCGATGTCCATCAGCGGGCGTACGAACTTCATTCGAATGGGGGGCACAGCTGCGCTTTTGGCATCTATGGGACAGGCGCCTGGGTATCGCTCGAAGACTTGCAATCACGGACCTGACGAAACATGTAACCACCTTTAGAGTGGACGTGCTTTGGTGGGCGAAGGTCAGTACTTGTGGCCCGATTGATCCTGAGAGTTCGTGGGAAGAGATGTAATGCTCAACTTAGTCAGTTTGTGCACTGCAGCGACACTCAACGGATCGAATACTCTTTTCGCGGCAGAGTGGGACGGGTCGTTAGCGCATGCTTGCGCTCTCAGTGTTCTTGCTAACGCGCGGGCGAAGGAGATTCCAGCTACACTGGTTGCTAGAGAGAGAGAGAGAGAGACAGAAAAAAGAGAAAGAGAGAGAGAGAGAGAGAGCGCGTCAGCCTGCGCTTTCTTGGTGGCTACACTGGGACGTACGCTGATGTCCATGAGGTCGCGGAGGACCACAGGGTCAGGCAAATCATGGAGGAAATTCTGAGTAGCAATAAGAAAGCTCTGCTGTGGACGGATGATGGCGTTGCACCAAGTGTTCTTCAGCCGCACGCTAACCTCAGCGCGGCCGTGATGTGGATGTTCACATATATTGTGCACGAGGTCGCCTAGCAACCAGCTCGGCAACGGCCCAGTGGAAGGGCCAGTGGGATAACTAGTCGATTTCTAGCATGCGAAGGCGGCGCATCCTCACTGGAGCATGATGTTCAACAATTTCCTTGGTGGCAACGGGGGCTATGGGGGGAGCCTGGTTGTGCATTTACCCACCCGCTCGTTTTGTTTCAGTATATCCAGTACCTGGCGGAATGGGCTGCAGCTGCCACTCACTGGTACTAGTGTCTATGTGGACTTTTTTTCGCTGGTTACATTTTGGTCGATGGAGGCCCGTTTCAGCATAGCATATTTTGAACTGGAGTGTACTGTGTTGGATTGCTGGTGCGTAATTTGTCCTACTTGTGGTTTCTCCTTGGAGTAACACACAGGTGCGTTAGCCATATTTCTTCGGTATCCACTGGTTTTCGAATCAAGCCTGGAGGAGCAATGTTTGTGGCAAGTATTGGCAGCGGAGATGTTTCCGGGGGTGACAATCCCGTTTCGGAACTGTTCTGCGGTGCTTGATGGTATTTGGGGTTGCCCGATGACCAATCGTTTCGGCACTGCATGGGCCGCATCGGGTCACTCTCGGTTCAACCTAGTTATGCTTCAAGTGCTACAGGCGAGATATTCAATCGGGGTGATCGGCGCACGCTGTTCCTCGACCTCCTCATCTACCTGTGCTTCGTCTTCGGGTGCTTTCCTCCGTGGGCAAGTTCAGGAGTGGCTTGCGTGAGGACTGATTATTGGCACCCTCCTGCTCCCCCCCCCCTCCTCCTCTCCTCCCTGCTTCCGCATCCTCTCCGTCCTCTCATCCGATCCTCCCCCCCGTCCCCCTCCACCCTTTGCTCCCGGAGCGCTTCGCAACGTTTCTCCGTCCTTGGGGCTACACGTACCGCTGGTGTGCACCGCTACGGGATGAGCAGCGCGCAAGGCGTCGCCGGCATATCCAGGCGGCCAGTTGCAGTTCGCGGATGATCCTGGCGCGGCACGGCACGGCGCGCAGCGGGCACGCGGCGGCGGCGGCACGGCGGTGGAACGCAGGATGATTGTGAACTCTCACTGCTGTGAGAATAAATATTTGATACCCCCCCCTCCGGTGACCCCTCCGGTGCACATTACATTTTTTCAATTGCCAGGGCCCCGCCGGCGCTCGCACCCGAGTTTTTATCAGGGAAGGTCTATGCCTCCTCAAAACTGTGCCGTGGCCCCTGGTTTACAAACAAACACCAATACCAACACCAACACCAACACAACACCAACACCAACACAACCCAACACCAACACCAACACCAACAACAACAACAACAACAACAAACAACGCCTCCCGCATTGATTACTTTTCTTCGAACGAAATTACTGCAGTCCCCCGCTCCCGCTTGAAACTTCCTCGCAATTTACTCAAGAATCGCGCTCCCGCTTGAGACCTCTTCGCAATTTCCTCAGGCTCCGCGCTCTTGCCATTCAGGAATCGCGCGTTCGCTGGGGACTTCTTCAAATTTACTTAGAAATCTCTCTCTCGCTGGAAACTTCCTGGCTAATCACGCAGAAATCACGATCGATCCGCCCGCTCGGCCCGCCCGTCAGGGTCATGCCCTTCGTGCCCCATGCTCGCTCGCGCCCGTGTGCCTGCTTGCTGCCTTCGTTTGTGGCCCAGTCGCTGCCCTTCGTGGCCCCGATGCTGCCCTCAGTGGCCCCTCGATGCCCTTTGTGGCCCATATATGTATTATATGTGTATGTATATGTATTATATGGTATATGGTTATATATATGTATATGCTATAGGTGTCCGCAGGACTGCACAACACGTAATGGAAGGTATATTGTATGGGTAAAGTAAATGGTATATGTAGATGTAGACTTATATGTATATGTATAATGTAATTGTAATGTATGTATGTATGTATCGCATGTAAGGTATGCATCCACGCGTGTGTATGTATGTAATGTATGTATGTATGTTATGTATGTGTGACTGTAGGTATGTATGTTGTGTGTATGAATGTACAGATGGTTTGTGTTCGTAGGATACAGCATGTATGTATGTATGTATGTATGTATGTATGTATGTATGTTTGTATATATATATATAGATGGATGGGTGTATGTATGTATATATATATATATATATATATATATATGTATGTACACACACCCTTCGTGCCCCCCCCCGTCGTTCGCTGCCCTCAAAAGCCCTGCCCTTCGTGGCCCCGCTGCTGCCCTCAGTGGCCCCCTCGCTGCCCTTTGTGGCCCAAAGTGGCCCGTATGTACGCCCTTCGTGGCCCCCAATCGCTCGTGCCCTCAATGGCCTCATTGCTGCCCTTCGTGGCCCCAGTGTAGCCCCGTGTGCCTCCCCCCCGCTGCCCTCAGTGGCCCCCTCGCTGCCCGTAGTGGCCCACAGTTTCGCCCCTCGTGGCCCCCAGTCTCTCGCGCCCTCAGTGGCCCCATTGCTGACCTTCGTCGCCTTGGCGTAGGCACTTTATGGCCTGTATCTGCGCCTTTCGTGGCCCCGCTGCTGCCCTCAATGGCCCAGACGCTGCCCTTCGTTGCCCCCAGTCGTTTGTCTCCTCAATGGCCCCATTGCTTTAAGGGGCCCCCTCCCTGCCTTTTTGTGGCCCATCTATACACCCTCCGTGGCCCCCTGTCGCTCGTGCCCTCAGTGGCCCCATTCCTGCCATTCGTGGCCCCCCGCACTGTCCAATGTGCCCCCCTCGTTGCCCTTTGTGGCCCAGATGTTCGCCTTTCGTGGCCCCCAATCGCTCGTGCCCTCAGTGGCCCCAGTGCTGCCTTTCGTGGTCCCAATGTAGCCCCGTGTGCCTCCCCCCCGCTGCCCTCAGTGGCCCCGCTGCTGCCCTCATGGGCCCAGACGCTGCCCTTCGTGACCCCCCGTCGCTTGCGCCCTCAGTGGCCCCGTTGCTGCCCTTCGTGGCCCCAGCGCAGCCCCTCGTGGCCCCCTTGCTGCCCTCTTTGGCCCCGTCAATGCCCTCACTGGCCCCATTGCTGCCCTTCGTGGCCCCGCTGCTGCCCAAAGTGGCGCCCATCGCTGCCCATTGTGGCCCCGTTGCTGCCCTTGGTGGCCCATGTATACGCCCTTCGTGGCCCCCGCTCGCTCGTGCCCTCGGTGGCCCCATTGCTGCCCTTCGTGGTCCCGCTGCTGCCCTTCAGTGGCCCCATTGCTGCTTCTCTCGTCCGCAGTTATGCTCCTTCCCTTTTGTCCCTTGCCTCCCTCCCTTCCCCCACTCCTTTCCTCCTCGCGTTCTCTCTCTCTCTCTCTCTCTATATATATATCTCTCCCTCTCTTTCTGTCGCTCGCTTTCTCTTTCTCTTTCTCGTTCTCTTTCTCAGTCTCTCTCTCTCTCTCTATGTATCGCCTTTCCCACACCTCTTGCTCTTTTAGGGGTTGCGCCCAATACGCGCGGAAGGTTAGGAAGATGTACCCCCAAAAGGGGGCACGATCGAAGACGAAGAGGGCGGGTATCGGGGGTTTGGGATATACGTGGCGAGGTACGCGCAAGCAGATAAGGGCGAACAGCCTTAACATGATTGCTGTTGTTGTTATTGTTGTCGTCGTCGTCGTCGTCGTTGTTGCTGTTGTTGTTGTTGAACAACCACTTCTGAATAATAAGTGTTGTTGATCCCCCCGCCCGCTGCACATGGTATGTTTCGATTGAAATGCCCCTCCCGGGGCTCGCACCGTGTTTTTTATGATGGAACATTTTGAACATCAAACTGTGTTGTTGGCCCCCGATTTCCAACAACAGCGGTTCCCGCCTGATACTTCCTCACAATGTATTGAAGAATCGCGCTCTCGCTTCGGACCTCTTGTCAATGTACCACCGAATCGCGGCTCCCGCCTGATACTTCCTCACAGTTTATTGCAGAATCGCGTTCTCGCTTGGGACTTCCTCGCATCTTACCACCGAATCGCGGCTTCCGCCTGATACGTCGTCACAATTTACGCAGATGCCGTTCCTCGACACTCAGGACTCGCGCTCCCGCTACAGATTGCCTGGCGGCTCAAGCAAGACTCACGCTCCAACCGCTGGCTCAAGCAAGACTCTGGCAAGACTCAAGCAAGACCCGCCCGCTCGACCCGCCCGTCGGGGCCTGGCGGCCCGACCAGCCCGTTAAGGACTGCAGTCGCCGCTCGCTGCCCTTCCTTCGCCCGCCTTCGATGCCCCTCGCTGCCCATACTGGTTCCGCGGTCGCCTTCGCTCGCTGCCCTTTGTGGCCCCGTTGCTGCCCTCAGTGGCCCCGCCGCTGCCTCTTGAGGCCCCGCATTATATGCCCTTCGTGGTCCCCGCTCGCACGCGCCCGTCGTGGCCCCATACGCATGCCCTTCGTAGCCCCGCTGTCGCCCTTTGTGGCCCGCTGTCGCATTTTCTGGCCCCATACATGTATGCCCTTTGTGGCCCCCGGTCCTTCGCGCCCGTCGTGGCCCCATATGCATGCCCTTCGTGGCCCCGCTGTCGCCTTTCGTGGCCCCCTCGCTGCCCTTCGTGGCCCCGTGTCTGTCCTCAGTGGCCCCGTCCTTGCCCTCTGCGGCCCTATATAAGTATGTCCTTCGTGGTCCCCGCTCGTTCGCGCCTGTCGTGGCCCCATATGCATGCCCTTCGTGGCACCATTGCTGCCCTTTGTCGCCCTGCTTGCCATGTGTGGCCCCCTCGCTGACCTTCGTGGCCCCGTCGATGCCCTCAGTGGCCCCGCTGTCGTCCTTTCTGGCCCCATATATGTATGCCTTCGTGGCCGCAGCTCGCTCGCGTCCTTCGTGGTCCCCTCGCTGCCCTTCGTGGCCCTGTTGTCGCCGTGTGCGGCCCCCTCGTTGCCCTTCGTGGCCCCGTTTCTGCCCTCAGTGGCCCCGTCGCTGCCCTCTGTGGCCCCGAATAACGTATGCCCTTCGTGGCCCCCGCTCGTTCGCGCCCTTCGTCGCCGTCGTCATCGTCGTCGTCGGCGTCGTCGTTGGCCTGTGCAGATGCTGTGCGTTGCCGTGCGGGGCATGTGCGAAACTTGCAAGAAAGCCAGGGCTGGCCGGGCTGGGGGCGGCTGGGCTGGAGGCGGCCCCGAGTCATCCTCGCCACTCTGGGTTTCGATATGCCCTGAGCTGAGGTGTTCAGGCCACTTTCGCTTGAGACATCCTCGCAACTCTGACCTCGGAGATGCCCTGCTTCATGTTTGTCCGGCCACTTTCGCTTGAAACATCCTCGCAGTTCAGGCGTCCGGTATGCCCTGAGCTGAGAAAATCAGGGCACTCTCTCTTGAGACGTCCTCGCAGCTCTGACCTCGGAGGTGCCCTGCTCCGTGGTGTTCCGGCCAAATTCGCCTGAGACATCCTCGCAACTCTGGGTTCCGATATGCCCTGAGCTGAGGTGGTCAGGCCACTTTCGCCAGATACATCCTCGCAACTCTGACCTCGGAGATGCCCTGCCCCATGGTGGTCCGGCCACTTTCGCTTGAGACGTCCTTGCGACTCAGGCTTCCGATATGCCCTGAGGTGAGATGGTCGGGCAGTTTTCGCCTGATACGTCCTCGCAATTCTGAACTCGGAGATGCCCTGCCCCATGGCCCATGGTGGTCGGGCCACTTTCGCTTGAGACATCGTCGCAACTTTCGGATCCGATATGCCATGTGTTGAGGTGGCCAGGTCACTTTCGCCTGCGACATCCTCGCGTGATACATCATCCGAACGCTGACCACATCCCCGTGTTGCATTGGTGCTGTCGCCTGCCACATCCCTTATTTGGATATGGTGCTTGTTGCTCAAGCGCCAGCCTCTCCTGCTGGTTTTCCTCGCCATTTACACCTCCCTGCCTCTCCGAGTCTTTGACTTTCCGGCATGTGCGGGCATGTGCGTTTATACTTTCGGAATTGTTCTAGCCTGTGCATCCGACTGTGCATCGGACTGTGAGGCAGGT